TAGAAAAGAAATCTGTGTATTTAATCAAGTAATACGGAGAGATTAGAAAATATATATATTTTTTTAATAACTTCAGCCAATCATTTCAGGTTAATTTTTTAGGTTTTTTTTTTACAATTATTTTCAAGAATTTCCATGTTAAGCATGCAAATATCTTTCGTCACTTCAGAACAAGCACAAAAGGCAACTAGTAAATAACGATAGAGTAACATTCATTATCTGATTGATGAGAAATTGGTAAATACAAAACTTGTAAAGATTACCAGATGGATAATCAAAATTATGCATTTTTTTTTTGCTTCTGCTTAAAATCCAAACGTTGCTGTCACGAAAATGTAAGAACAATATAATATATATTTACCTACGCATTAACCTTGACCATTTTTAATTGTATAAATAGCATTGTCCAAGGCCGACATTTTGATTTGCGCGGAGAAAAAACACTTGCGGATAAAAACCGTCGGCACTGCACCGTTCTCTCTCGGCCTTGATGGCGCCTCAACCCCAAATACAAATTCGTCGGACGGGTTGCCTAATAATTGGGATGCCGGGGCGACGTCGACGGGCGATCAGGCGTCGAACCTTCGCTTACGATTTAAACAAAATATGCACGGCGAATGTCTTCAATTAGTACCCAGAGTACGTTTTAAAAAGAAAAATTCCAGTTGCAAAGTCTATAACACGTTTGTTACTATCGCTATAACTACTGCACGAACACGTTTCATTTGTTTAACCGCTGTTGACAAATTTAAACTCATACTAAAGCATATTAAATTGTCTTCCAAATAGCGTGTTTATTTTTTGGGTCAGATGAATAATTTCCAAAAAAAAAAACAGGAAACCAAATCTGCTCTTAAAGGAAAAATAAGGAAATCGATGGCGTTGCCAATATTTTACAAGAAATTTTGTAACTCAAACTTTTTTTTGTAAACTCTCAACGCTTTGTAATTTTTTTGTAAGTCAAATTGTAACCACTTGTAAAAAAATAAAGGATTTGATTTTTCCGCTTCAACCACTCCATATTTTTAAATCGCCCTTAAAAAAGTTGCGTTTTTTTTGCGAAACTGGGATGTTTTATAAGGAATTTTGTAGATCAAATTTTAATCACTTGTAAAAAATTAACGAGCCGGTTTTTCCGCTTCAAATTTTAAACCGTTGTAGTACAAGATCTCAGCTATTTGCTGATAATGACTCCATATTTTTAAATCGATCTCGAAACTCGAATGTTTTATAAGAAATTTTTAACTCAGACTTTAATCACTTGTATAAAATTAAAGAGTCCGTTTTTCCGCTTCAGATTTGAGACATTATTTTTAAATCGCCCTCAAAAAAAGTTGTTGTGAAAAATCGTACAAATTTACGACTTTTGCGAGACATTTCTCGACGAAAACTTTAATCGCGACGGCCCCATATTTCGTCGCCGCCCTCAGACGACCTTTCCCGCCGCCGCCGCTTTCGGAATTCCGAAGCAGAAGCGCTCGACGAGAGCCAATAATTCGTTACGACGGCGCCCGCTTTATCGCGCCAACAAAAAAAAAAGACAAGCGCGCCCGATTAAAAAGGCGTATCGCGCGACGGGCGACCATGGCGCCGGGCAGCGCATAAAACGCGGACGTGGCAATGAACGTCCTTCGCGTGACGTACGCCGCGAAATCCTCACGTAACCCTCCGCTCGTTGTTTGTTTCGGTTAACGCGGGGACGCAGGCGGCCGCGGATGACACTGATCGATATACGTCGCGCGCGCTTACGTCACGAAGAAATTCCACGGCTATCTCGATCGGGCGGGCGCCGCGGGGATGAAGCTCGAACACGCAAATGTGAATTTAGTTGTTCGTCTCGCGGTAAGGGGCGCTGTTTTCTCAATTTTCATCGCCGTGGAACTATTCAAAATTTATTTATTGCTGCTCTATTAACTGCGGCGGTGGGCGAGTGTCCAGGACACGTTGCCCACTGAAAGCAAAGGAGAGTATCGGTGTTATGCTAGTGTCATCAAGATCGCTTATTGACATTAAGCCAAGAAAGTCTATTGGATTATCATTTTCAATTTCGATAGCAGATTGCAATTTAAATTGATTTTTTTAAAATATTTTTGAAACATTTTCTTATTTAGTACATTTTAATGAAGTTGTTATTTGAATTTGATAAGATTTAAATTGTAATCTGGTAAGTTCTTTTTACAGGTGGGTGACTCTTTTTACTTGCTAGAACTTAAATACGTAAATACGTAAATAAAAATACTACGCCACTCTCAACAGAAAATTACGGCAAAAAACTTAATAACATTAAACAAATTGCACTGAACAACGGCTACAATCCGTCCATTATAGATAAAATTACAAACAAAAAAACAACAATAAACTCTATTTATCCGAAACGTAATATAGAACACGAACAATTTAAAACAATTACATACATAGGAGAACCCAGTGAAAAAGTTTCAAAACATTTGTCAAAATGTGGTTTAAAAATAGCTTTCAGAACAAACAAGATAATGGGAAAATTTTTAAAAAACAATAAAACGAAATGTCGGAAATCTCAAAAATCAGGTGTCTACAGGTTGAAATGCGGATCTTGTCCTAAAATACGAGGGCAGCGCCAAAATTTCCCGACTTGAATATGAAAAAGTAGAGTAACAATTTTTTATATATTTTTCAATATAATCCCCCTTAACTTCAATACACGTATTACATCTCTTCATTAACAACTGAATCCCTTTTGGTTTGTCGGCAAAATGAGCTAAACCAGCCTCTTTTAACTCTACTTCGTCGTTAAACCGCCGTCCACGTAAGTCCTTTTTCAAATATCCAAACAAATAATAGTCGCTGGGGGCCATATCTGGACTATAGGGTGGATGATCACGACATCAAGCTTTATTATAGGTCCGTTAATCACGGGGTCGTAAAAGCGCTATATTCCTGGTCCATATAGAATGTATTAACTATTGCCCATTCTTGAGCAAGTCGAGCAAGTGATGATCGGCGAGACGTCAGCGTAATATTCGTAAACAGTATCGCAGTCGGCTATGGAAGTTTCTTTGAAAAACAAATGAAAATAAAAAGCGCCTTTGGCGACACAGAGGTGCGGCTCGGAAAGTGGAATATCACGCTGAAAAATTTGCAGGCGTGAGAACGCGACAAGAAAGACACTTTTAAAACGGTTTTTTCATTATCATTAGCGTTATATCGATATGTATGCTTTTTTTTCTAAATTAAGCAACGCGGAGTATGCAACGGAAAAATCGTTAGTCGAGTTGAACAGTGTCGCTAAAAATGCCGGTCCAAGGTCGTCGGCCAACAATGGCGGTCGACAGTAAGCCACGCTTACAGGGTGTGCCAGTGCATACTAAAAATACTAAAATTTTGAAAAAAAAAAAAAAGCAGGCATGTCCAGAGGAAGGAAGTGCCTGAAATGACGAGTCCCTAAAATTGCCGCCAGGCGGCGCGCAGCGATTCAAATTAGGTGGTTTACATATTGAAAAACGGTTTTTGAAAAAATCGCTGCCCAGAAAAGTTTTTAATGTTCTTCTTTCGACTTTATTTATTACTGTAACATTTATGCCGCGAAATCTGACACCTTTAATACAGCCAACGGACTAGAACTTTATCAGAATTACCAAGTTATTTTATCGTAAAAACCTACTAAGCCAGTTATTGTCAAAATGCACAGAGTGCTATAAACCTCTATGACTCGAACTTGAATGGACTGTGAAAAACGTTCGAGTTATAGGGAGAAAAAATGCATATGTACTTTAGGTATGATATTTTTTTATTAAAAAAAAATCTAAACAACCGAACAATGCTAATTACTAGACCTAAAGTACGAACAAAAAACAATAAAAATAGCGCCAGCCAGGCTGTGCTTGCTTTTAAATGTTCATTTTCCAGCCTGTCATGTCATATTTTTTCAAATCTCCGTTTTTTCATCAATTATTGTTAATGTTTTAAGTTTTCGCGAGCAATAGCCCTAAACAAACTTAAATCAGTTGGGGAATGAAATAAAAATTGATTGTCACTCGGAAAAAGATGACAATGACAATACTGTGTCAAATGCAGAAGACAAGCCTGTTTCAACGAGCCGATCTGTTAATGACGTTATCCAATGGGCTGAAGAAAATGGCGATGTAGTAGAATATAACAGCTTGATTGTATTGCATGATTGAAGGCAGAAAATTGTAGAAATCAACCTAAAAACAAAGTTTAAACAGCCTAAACTGACGTCATTTTTCACGCATGTTCATATTTTCAATATTTTTTGGTGAGTTTTGACGATGACAATAATTCTCTGCGTACTGTCATATAGGGAAGAGGTTTTTATTTTTTTAGCGTACGTCGGACCGAAAAACATCAAGAAACTAAATTTCTTTGGAAATGACTTTAGATTGTAAGGATATTTTCTTTTAAAGAGAAATCAGTGGCGTACCATCAATTTCTCCCAAAATATAAATGATCACCCGGTACCCATTATTATTATTAAATTATTTCCAGAAATTGATTCGAAAGAGAACAAGCGTTAAATCGCGGTCGGCCGTATTAATTGAACTTGGCCGTCGGGTAAACAACCCGCGCTAATGCGGTTTTCCTTATTTCGTCCGAAAACAAAGAATCGTCGCGCCAAAGGTCAAAAACCGTCTCGACCGGCGACAATCGAGGAAGCTCGGTCGTTTTCGGCGCGTCGAGCTAACGAAAAAAAAAAACGGAAAAAATGCACGGGCGCGGAATTTTTGACAAGGTCGCGTACTTTTCATTGTTGCCGCGGGAAAGCGTGACGTCACCGGCCGACCTTGCGGTGAAGGCGCGGGGGTGTCACTTTTCGGTAGCGTAGGAATTTCGGCGCGTAGCCTCTCGTCCATGCCGATCGCAGACCACGAAAACAACGACGAAAACGTCGAAAGATATCGACGTCTTTCTCATCTATTGTTATGTTTACGAGATTTTCGATCACCGGACAGAGCGCATCGAGTCCGGCATGAAAAAAGCACAAAAAAACGCGGGCTACTCACTAATAGCGTCATGAGGACCCACTGGACAAGAACGAAGAGCAGAGCAGGGGCGGCTGTGGCACACATTTCGAGCTGTCACATCGCGTCGCGCTCTCTCTCTCTCTTTCTCTTTCTCTGTGCGCTCGTTCGTCCTCGTCGTCCGCACCCCGACGAAACTCGCGATAAACTGAGCGGCGGTGGCCGGTTCTTCGGCGGGCCGCTCCCGTGGCCCGCGCCCGGAACCCGCCAATTCGACTCCGGACCCCGAGGTCGAGCCGTTCACTCTGTGGTCCGTGCCGAACGTCGGTCGTCCGCGATCCGTGCCTCGCGTAATCGCCGCGTAACGCGCGCTCCTTGGTTCGGTTCGCAAAGATTTTGTCGAGAAATTTGCCAGATAAAAGCGCGAGTTATTTTTTATTAAATTTGGAATAGTGGAAATTCTACTGCTGTCCACTGCAACGGGATTTCATAAGAGAAGAAGAAACTTTTAGGTTAAACCTCGCCAAAGTGTAACATGTATTTCGTATTGAGGCTTTTATATCAGGAAAACCGTTTAGATCCACATTTTCGAAGCCACGGGATGGAAAACATCGTGACGAGCGGTAAAAAATGTGCAAGAAGCAATTGCAGAATGAGGAAATCGAATCGCGTCTGACTTGTAGCTCATCCTATAGGAAAAGCTCAGAAGTAAGGTCGCCAGATCGTAGGAAATTGTAATGGTGGACGTGGTTTCTCACGTTAGTTAAATGATCCGCCGATTACGATGGCCCCAGAAGTATTTTCAAAAAATTGGCGACGAAAGTAGCGTCGGTCATCTTGGACAAACTTAGAAGAAACTGTCAGGAACCACTAAGAAACTTTTAACGTGAAATGGGAAGAATTTCGATGAAAGTCTAGGGAAGAAAGTGCGGGTTAACGGAAGGGCTTTAAATGCACACCCGCACATAAGTTGTTTGCTTTGTAACTATCCTAGCATGATTTGACTTATTCTTAGGTGGGTGCAAGAAAAAGATCCCTAAAACAGAGTCCCCGCGGTTGGGGCTTGGATCATTTTGTGCTCGTGATGGGCCTCGAACATTTATGTAGTATAATTGCAATTTCTATTAAAAGGTTTTAAAATTTTTCTGGTTGTCTTCTCTGCACTCTCATTTGTCCTTATAAATTAAACTAATTAGTTGAAACAATAACAAGACCATCTTTCATTGGCATACGGAACTAATTACTCGAAGGTGCCTGTGTTTCGCCTTCTGCCGACAACTCGTGGAATTAATTAATTGTGAAGCGATAGTGGCGCCATCTATCACTAATTCGCGGAATCGATTCAAGCAGGCGCCAATTGTGCGTTAGTTGTGTCGTGTACCTGTAGGTTTAAAATTAATTGATGCCAGCATTGATAGATCGTTAATTTACTTTTTTCCTTAGTTGAAGTATGCAACAACAGATGGAATTAAATGCTCAGTGTACCTCCATTTTCTATGAAATAATTATTTCAAGGAATTACCGTCCAAAGGAAGACACTCATCTTAATTGAAATTCTTTTATTTTATATAATAAACAACCACAAACTATTTCAGTTTTACCGAAGTAGCATAGAAACCTGGAATTAAACTTAAAACATTTTATTATTATGAAAGGATTAACAGACACCTCAAACTAGATGACGAACGTCAGGGTAGATTAAATGATGATTAATGTCGTATCACATTATGCTTTTTGAATTAACCGTAGAGCCTAAAAAATAAAAGCAAAGTAATATATAGCCTGAACCGGCTATATCGGCCGAACACAATATATATTAATAATTCATAGGTGATTTTACACTTTACACCTGGGAAAAGGGACCCACGCTTAGTTGCCTAAAATTGTATGCCTACACACTCCACAAAACCACCTAACCCCACCGACGGCCCTGGCCGCTAACGACTTTTTATCATCTTCGACAATCAAAATTCTTAAATAGCGTAGCTCGGCAAACAAATTGCCCAAATACAAAGACTATTAAACCTTCTTCTTTGCTTCCGTTGGCCCTAATTGCTACAATCACCCGGCCAACCTTCAATGCCACGATTTGATATATAAACTTTCAAACATGCTCGCCAATTATTAGTCAAAGTATAAGCGTTTGAACATTAACCTCACCCTTTCATAGAATCACGGATACTTTGAATTAAAAATAAGTCACGCACGGTTAGTAAAGCATGAAGAGCCGAAGCTGTTAGATAATTGTTTGAAGTCAAATCACCGTGAAAAGTATCTTTTCGAAACTGTTAGCAGTCAAACTGGGATTTTGTAGCCGCAATGAAGTTTTTCCCTACTCGGCATTAGATTATTTATCTTAATATAGATAATGACTCGAAAGAATGGGATTTTAAAGATTTTAGGTTATATGGAAATTACGTTCAAATAATATTTCGCCGGTTTAAGCTTTTGTAGGCAACAAGACGCAAAGTGGCCCTTTAGCGAAAATCGACGGATTAATTAATTTGGTCCCACAGAAACGCCATTTTTCTATCATCTACACGAATTTGTGCGAAGAACTAAACAAAAAGCTTAAAACTTAAGCCGCAGCATAAATAAGGTTAAAAATTTCATACTGCGATCCGTATATATATTTTAAAAAAATTCTTTATCCGTTAAGTCGGTACCATCGCGACGGAATACGGATACTTGGGCCGGTTCGGGTTGTGCAGCAGCAGCCACTCAGCCAACGCCACCACTGGATCGAGTGGCTTCGCCCGGACGATCTCGGTCAGTCCTTCGAGCAGAATGGGTCCGACTCTAGTCGAAACGTAGTCGCCGACTGTACGGGGTTCCCTGGGCAACGGCTCCAACACATCTTAACACACACACACAAAGTAGACAAGATGCAATTTCCCATGTAAATATTGCAACGCGTTCCCAGATAAAGTTGTATATGTAAATAAATCATGATTCCCTAACTTACTTACCACCGGGACGATTTTTTTTATAGGAAAAAGATATTGAAAAACCCAGATTTTGGATGCGTTTTCCAGAAATTCGCTACGTCTCGTTTCTCACCTCGCGGGAAAAAGTAGCGGTTCTCCCTGCGCGCGGTTCGCGGGTCCGGGGCCGCCGGCAGGAACCACTCGGCCCTCAGCGGCCCGCGAGGCCCGATCACGCGCTCCCACTCATCGACCGCGCCGATCCCCTGCAGCGAGAGCACCAACACCGGCGACAGACTCGCGCTCACCACGAGATGCGGAAACGCGGGGGTACCGTAGTACTTCTCGTACACCTCCGAGACCTGCTCGGGCGTCAAACGCACCACCCTCTCCTAAAACGTACGAACGAAATAAAGGCGAGGCCAATGGACAAAATGACGGACCGCTGCGATTTAGCTCTTTGACAGATTACGCACCGAACGTGACATAAGGTAAATCAACCTAGGCCGTTCGCCCATTAACAAAAACAGCGAAGCAGGTCGCCACAGACCACGACGACGCGGAACCACTTCGGATGAGTGAATAGCGTGTATGTTACGGTAACCGTTGTGCTTACGTTGACGATTTTCAAGCTGCTCTCGCGAACGGCGCGCAGCACCACGTCCCTGAACTGGAAAGCTTCCGGTTTCACGATGGCCAGAGTGCGTTGCAGGCCGTGTTCCGCGCACGACGCGACGCTACTTGAAGAAGACGAGTCCGGCCCCTCGACCGGGCGCCTTTCGGCGCCGTCACGCGCGTAAAACGGCCAATAATAGTCGACGAAGTCACCCTCGCGCTCGCTGCGTCCCGACGCCGTGCTCGCGGGCGAAATATAGTGGACCGTCGTCACAGGTTCGGCCGTTGCCTGCTCGAAAGCCGATTTTTAGCCGCGGCGCCATCTATCGGCCGTTGCCATAACGACCGGGTTCGCCGTCGCACCCCACAGATGGCGCCACGCAACTTAATCTTATTTTGACGTTGCCAGATGTGATTGAACTAAGATATGACTAAGGTATTAAAATCTATTTTCAATTTTAGTAAGTTGTAATTCATTAATTCGAAATCCTACCTACGGTCGTGTGAAATCTGGTGGTACCAATTTTGATTTGCGATGGTAAATATCTCAAATAATTGCGGCTAAAGTCCAATGAGCACCGATCTTTGCTTAACGAGAAGTGTAAGCAAAATTAAGTTCACGACATTTCCTGGATGAATCGAAAAAAAATGTAAATCTGGTAACGCCGCGCAGCCCGTAACAATTAAAATTTCCCTGTACGGCGTATACGCAAACCGGAGGATTTCTGCGTTAACTCACCGTACCGGAGTCGACGGGCGTGATGCTGCTGCCGGAACCGGCGTCGCTCTCCGTCAAACGGGCCTCGCCGCCGTCCTCCATGTTCGTCAAATTCGCTGACGAGAAAGTCAAATTTTAATGACACATCTGACAATCGCGACGCGCGGCGGAAAATTACGCGGCAACCGCGGCGCACAATAACAAACGTTGTTTTCTCCCGACGAAAAAAAAAAAGCGTTCCATGCGGTTTACTTCCTCGCTCCGCTGCCGGCGGATCTCTCCTATCCCGTACTCGCATTTCGCCGCGTTCCGTCGTCGCGGGTGACGTTTCACGCGTAGACGAAACTTTTCGCGACCGCCGCATGGATTTCGCTCATGGAACGTACCGCACAGCGCCGCCCAAAGGTTCGTTTTGGTTTACAAACTACAAAGCACGTAAGTATCATAAACGCAATACTCGAAAATCTAGGAAGCACTGGCTGACGTTTGATAGACGCCACAGACTACATCCGCGCCCGGCGCGCTGGGTCTACTTCTTTTACGTTTTACACCAAGTTGGGCAGTTTGCTCGGATCATTCGCCCACACACATTGGGTTGGATTTTATGTAATTTTGTCGATAACAAACAAATGTATCATCGACATGGCGTTTCTATAATTTTGGTAGAGAACTTTCTTCTCAAACGCTTCCATAAATATATTCGAGATGACTAGTGATAATACAGAACCCAACGTTTATTCAAAAATTTGACCGTTACAAGATAAAATATTTTTCAATAAAAATGAGGTTTGGTTCCAGATTCTCGGAATTTAATATATATGAGATGATGTTGAGAGTTTCAATGAAACGAATTAAGTATGAAACTATCAGTTTTCCCTGTAAAAATGATTTTAATATAGAAGCTAGATATTTTGCTAGAGAATACGTTAGTTACGGATCCCGATAGAGAAGAAGACCCAATTTAAAGTTGCGTTCCATAGATGATGGGGGATTTTTTTTTAAGTTACGAAAATTTTGAATTACGTAGTCGAGATTAGATTTTAGAACAATACGTCCAGACTTTGGAATATTAGATTTGGGAGGTTTTAATTTTTTGTGGATTTTTGTGGTTTGACAGGGCAGTTTCTTTAGGGCAGACTCCTCGACATTTGAAATGATTTCATCTTTTGAGATACGTGTGATGATGCATTTACCACAGGGGGTTCTGGGTAGAAGATAAACTCGGATGGGGACAAGATGCGTCCATTTTAAAATGTAGAGACGGAAGAGTCTTGTTGATAAGCGGATGAGGTTTTGCCGTGATGGGGATTTTTTAAGAGAATTAGGGATATTAAGCATACATAATCTTTTTTAAAGGTAAACCTAAAATTTAAATTGTGTGGTGAATTTAATGTTTTACTCAAAAAAAAAAACTAATAACTCATTTTGTAAGTCTCTTTCGTAATCATTTTCAGTAAAATGAACTGAGCAGACATAGCTTTTATCTGGATTAAGTTTGTCCTCTCTTCTACATCAAACTATCCACTCGTTCCGAATAGTTCGGGATACTAGATCTTTCCGTTCGGGAAAGCGATGAAAACTACATTTTCGAGAACTTGCTTTTTCATCAAAATAGTTGTTATTGCCCCACACATGGCACATCTCGTTCCAGGCATACCTACCTATTTTTTGATATAACTTATCCCACTGAAAAAGGTAAAAGAAATGTATTTCTTACCTTTACCTATATTATTATGTGTAATATTTTTAGCTTACCTTCTAATAACACCGCTAAAAAGCAGCACGAACACAAAACTTTTAAGTCTTTGTTTAAGGTTAAAAATACTGTTTTTCTCAGTTCTCGCCACTCAAGCACATACAATTTTAAAGTATTTGTTAAAGCTTAAAAACACTGTTTTGTCCAAGTTTTTTTTACAGAAATACAATTAACACAACCATAAGCGCACTACTCACTAGTTTGAATTATTTTAATTGTTCAAAGAACACAAAATACAACGGTTTACACAACAAAAACAAAAACCGTTAGGGGACTTCGCTTACGCCACAAGCGACCACGTGCGATCGATAATTTCAGCGAACGTATGTCTTATGGGATTGGGCAATCGTATTAGGTTGCTATTTACAAATTTACAAATCTTCTATTCCTCCTGCGTCGCAAGTATTTTAAAAAATTTACGACGCGTTGGGCAGAGCGCCAAGGGCCGCTCGCCCATTGCCGCGACAATTTCGCGTAATCGCCGAAATAAAACAATCAAAATTCGTTTTAATATCGTTTCTATCTTATTCGGACGGGTCTCGCGCGTTCGATACGTCCGCGCAGCGAGTCGGCTGAAAAAAATTAAGGAGCACGTCATCAGTTACGTCACGGGGAAAGGCGGCAACACGCGGAATTAGTTTGGACGCCGGTGGCGTAAAAAACTTTGGCGACGCGCGGCTCTTCCGGCAGGAAAGGCCTTACCGTCAAATCCGTCTGCGTTTCCGCGTCGCTGACGCTTGTCATTCTCGTTTCGGTGCGCAGGCGCGCGATCAGATCGACGCAGATCTCCGCGACCGCGTCGTCGTCGCCCAGGGAAAGCCTCGTCAGCTTTTCCTCGATCAGTTCGTTGGGTTCGACGAACGTCAGGCGCGTTTTCCGCGGCAAATCCACGATCCTCACGCTATTTTCCTGAATGTCCTGATAAGGGCAGTACTGCAGCATGCTGTAGAACTGTCTGTTGTCTTTGTGCGCGTCGAACGACAGCACCGTGCCGAATTTCTTGTCGCTCGTCACTTTAGCCTCGAAATATGCCTCATCTAACGCGAACGGGTAAACTTTGATCACGGTCTGGGCTTCCTTGTCCTCGTACCGTTTGTCGGCGTCCATTTTTTTTTGTCGGGGGACGTCAAAACTGACACTGACTTTCGTCGAAATTGCCCGTGGTACGTATGGATTCGAAAAAACACCCGACGAACGTCGCGGACGAAGCGAGCGATTCGGAGGACGAGATATCTATAGCGGAATCGTTCAAGGGGTCGACAAGCGGTAACCGAAGGCGGAAAGGACGGTACGTTTGGTCCGACGCGAAAATGACGACATTTCGAGCAAAAAAACATTGAAAAAATAAATCGACCGCTGAAAACAACCGGTGAGTCAACGCGAAAAGGTCCGTAGTGATATCATTGAGTAAATGAAGTAAATCGGCCACCAGAGGGCGACGCCATTGACATCTTGAATTTTAAAACGTTTTTTCGAGAAACTTTATTTCCAAGTACGCCATAATGTCATATAAAAATTCTTGGTAGATATCTACATAAATCTACATGTAAATTTTGTAGCAAAGTGGTAATATAATCGAACCGAGGTGTAGCAAAATAAATAAGAACTAAAAGTTCAGATTTTCACGAAATTATATATTTTCACATGACAATTGTTTATTAAATTTAATATTTACAAACTACCTGCTACTATATATACCGAAAAATGACTATAAAACCTTAATTAATGTTGTTGTGAGAATTTAAGTTCAACAAAGGCGAGGTATTTAAATCTAATTGATCGTTAAGCAATACATTTGAATTTCTCATTTTGTTAATCTCCATGGCTTCCGATAAATTTAATTTTCTACTTTTTGTGGCTGTATGTAAAATATTAAAAATGTGTTTTTCTCTGTTTAAGTGTGTAGCATAATTAGAATCTAGACTACTGTTTTTAAACGCTCTTTTATGTTCGTTAATGCGTTTCTTGAAGGATCTATCTATTTGTCCAATAGAAATTTTAGGACAAGATCCGCATTTCAACCTGTAGACACCTGAGATTTTGGACATTTCGTTTTATTGTTTTTTAAAAATTTTCCTATTGTGTTTTTAGTTCTGAAACCTATTTTTCGGATAAATAGAGCTTACTGTTCTCTGGATTTGATTTTTATTTATAATTTTATGGGTAAGGGACAGATTGTAGCCGTTGTTCAGTGCAATTTGTTGAATAACATTAAGTTCTTTGCTGTAATTTTCTATTGAGAGTGGCGTATTAAGACGTCTGTATATAAAAGAGTGAAATGCAGCCATTTTGTGTGCATAAGGGTGATTCGAGCTGTTATGTATGACTGTGTCCGTGTGTGAAAGTTTATGGTAAATGGAAAAATCTAATTTGTTTCGCGTTTTCGTAACAGTTAAGTCTAAAAAACTAATAGAGTTATCATGTTCAATCTAGATAGTGAATTTTATACGATTATGCATTGAGTTAATATAATTTAAAAAATAATTCAGTTGTCTATGCGTTCCAACAAAGCAAGCAAAGACATCATCCACCATAGAAAACTTTTACTTAAAGGATGTTCTAGTATGATATTTCGCAAATTATCCATAAAAATCTCGATTAACAAAGAACTAAGTGGGTTTCCCATTATGACACCTTCCTTAGAGATGTAAATCTATCCATTAAATTGAAAATAAATTTGGTCTAAAGATACTATTAACCAATCTAATAAATCTTATTTCACCAATGGGTTAACCTGTTTCCGAGTTAGGGTGAAATCTACCAAATCTTTTACATCCATGGATGGAATACTGAATATAAGAATATAATTTCGGCGGTTGTAGATTCATAACTGTTAGTAAATACTTGTCTTTGTAATATAACTTTTTGAAGGGGCCGATATGATTAATTTAAATAAGCCAATCTTCAGTTAGTGAATGAAATACGATGGCCAAATTGCAAAAGGTCAATACAACAAACGACAACAAATACAGGTTAATTTACAATAAAAAGGCATTTGGTTTCGCACATTCAAAATAAACTAAACATCACTATGTTTCTTTTACAAGCAAACTCACAATAAAAATACGACTACAAAACATTGCTAAAAAAAACATTATTTTAAAAAAACATTAGTTTTTAAGTAAATTTACAGCTAAACAACATCTTATCTTATAAGGGCTAGTAAGAATTTGAAAAAGTTGGAACAACAATGGAAATATTACAATCAAATTAAAAACACATTCAATACTAATACTACACCACACTCCGCTTTGATTCCTTGTCTGAGTTATTTATATAATAGCTTCAGGCTTAGAGAGGCCTTTAGTAAATAGGGCATCGACTGCCTAAAATCTTCACTTAAACACAGAAAAACACATTTTTGACGACGATTTTGATATTTTGATATACAGCCACAAAAAGTAGAAAATTAAATTTATTGGAAGCCATGTAGATTAACAAAACGAGACATTCAAATATATTGCTTAACGATCAATTAGATTTAAATACTTCTCCATTATTAAACTTAAATTCTCACAACAACATTAATTATGGTTTTATTGTCATTTTTCGGTATATATAGTAGCAGGTAGTTTGTAAATATTACATTTGATAAACAATCGTCATGTGAATATATATATAATTTCGTAAAAAGCTGATTTTTTAGTTCTTATTTATTTTCTTAAATGGATTTTCATAAAGTAAAAGCCAACACTTGAACTGAGGTGGCTTTTACTCGATGAAAATCCATTTATCAAAATAAATAAGAACTAAGAACATTTGATAAAGACACGGTGTTGTCGAAACAATTGTCATATCATTGTCAAATCTGAACTTTTAGTTCTTATTTATTTTGAAAAGCCAACTCAGTTCAATTTTTAAAATCATCAGACCAAGTCCACTTATATGGACAAAATATATTTTACTAATTTCAAAAAATAAATAGTTTAAATATAGGTAATTTCTATCAGGTAACAAAAGGTCACAGAACATATGTTGGTTGTGTGTTGAAGAAGAAGAAGAAATTATCAAAATTACATCTTCCGCTAAAACTGGCATAAAATTCCCAATCAAAATAATTGATATAAACCAGCTTGAAAACTAACCACTGAAGACCATACAGAAAAACTATTGTTAAGTAGTTTCAGAACGACTGACTGGAAAAAAAGAGTACATTATCCTACTTGAAAAAGCAAATTAATTTACTAAAACTTACTTTTCTCTATTTGATATATTTGTGCTCTATTTTAAACATTAACGCAATTGAAACGTATATTTTTCTCTTCCTTTATCTATATTTATATACTCCACAATCGGTCAATAAGCAATTTTTCGATATAATAATACGATTCCACAGCAAAAAACTAAAATTCGGATGTCCACCTCTATTTTTGGCCAATAGGGTTTTTAACCAATGACACTGACAAATTCTTAGGTCCTCATATCCGCCACATTTGCTGTGATTCGGTGACAGAGCAAAATGTAGAAAGCAGAAATGATACGAGTGTTGTGAGTATAACATACACAAACCACCTCTAAGACATTTAAATTAACTTGTACATAAGGTCACACTTATCCCCTGTATAGGCACGTTCTTATGGTTTTTAACGGCAAACACATCGAGTTTTCCAATTGGTTATCATTTTTGTAGCAAAAACACAACTATGGCACATACTACTATCATGGAGTATTGCAACAGAAACTAACCTGCATCGAGCGGAATTACTGCAGAAGTATTCAATTGTTCGTTCTGGCGTTGCACGTTTTCCTCCATATTCCTCTCGTTCAGTCATCTCAATATTAAAACGAAATTAAAATAAATTAAAAACTACCTGAACAGCCGCATCAAGGTTAGTTCTTCTTCTTTTTCCATGGGATCGTATCTCCGCCATATTTAGTTAGGCCGCACGCCCAACAACTTCTATGGTCGGACTTAACTACTGCGGTATGCATTTCGAGGTTTTCCGCGTTATTTAGCGTTCGACAAACGTACCGTCATCGAAACCCATGCCGGAAACAAATCCCTCACAGCCTCGTTTCTTGTCAGACCGCGCGGCGACGGGCGCCGCCCTCCATCGACCGTCCTTACCCAAGGAAACCGTCGGAGACGACGCGACCAACAAACGCTGCAATCATATATCGTGCGAATGCGACCGGCCGGGGGTGGCGGGGGCCGCCGTACCCGTTGTCGTGTCCTTCGTCGATCCCGAAGCTCCGAGTGGTGCGGCCGTCTCGAAACCTAGAGCTTTTTTCAAGAAAATATTCGCCGATAGGGGGCGTAAAAACGATACGTTGCGGCGGCGCCTTCTCGAAGACTTTTCGAAAAGTGTGGCTTCCGTGAAACACGCCGCGGCCGCGCTGTCGGAGACCGAACCCTTCGAGTCGCAAACGGAAGCAATACGGGATCTGTTCGAGTGCGTTTTCGATTTGAAAAAGATCACCGGTAATTGCGATCGCCATTAAAGGTTTCTGCAGTACGTCGTTGCGTATCCGTTCGCCAGATGTCACCCGACCGCAACCGAGCTCCGAACGCGTCAACGTAAAGCCTGACAGACACGACACTTTGCAGCGTCTGTCGTTGTTAAATGGCTAAAGTTAATGTGACATAATAAATTAGGGACTTGTTTTTAATTTTCTTGGTTTCATTTCGTTATATTTTCACTTTTAAGAGTCGCCGGGAAAATTATATCCGCCGAATTTCTTCCAGTTTCGTGCGTCGTGTGTGCCGTGCTTTACCTGCGAGTTTCCAAATCGACGTTCTCTCTGCGCTTCAGTGGTCTCCGAACGCGCGTTCCAACCGCCTCGCTTTGTCTGTGCCTGTGTTGTCGCGAATGACTCACCGTTCGAGTGGGCTCAGTGTTCCCGTGTTGTTTTTCGCAATCCTGGCATGTCTGCTATGTGGAAATTGACGGCGATCCCGCGGGAACGCGGCAAGTGTGTGATCGAGGCCGCACGGCCCTCCCGTTCCATCTAATTAACCCGTATAATGACGCCTCCGCTGACCTTGTTCAGTGCGGTATCGTCGAGGATGACAGCCTTCCGATCGTGAAAACTGACGCTGAACAATTCGAAGTGATATTGAACATGAACAGGGTTTACTACGACGAGAACCAGACCTCATTCCTTTACACGGTAAGTGAAGTGCAACTGTTTACTACGTGAACCCTCTAGTCTGTGGGTCACGGTGTTCCGCGAAACAATTGGGTGCCCCGAGTCTCCGTTTCGAACGTGGAAGACGGGAAATCGTGTAAACGATACGTGACTAACGTCGGTTTTTTCTGTGCTATCGCCAAGGTCTGCGTTAACAATTACACAATGAGGGGCGACGAAGTCGAAAAACAGAAAAGCTGATGTTTTTTTTTAATTTTCGCAACCGACCGACCGGGATGGGGGAAATTATACTGTGAGTTCGCGGCGCGTATAAATTTAATTGGCCGCTTCTTCGCGCGTTGGTTAACTTCCGATGGGGCCAAATAATTATCGCTAATGGTGACTGTCGGTTACACACACACGCACACACACAAACGTAACGGTCGCAAAAAAGTATGTAATAAACTGAACGGGTGAGCGGCTGTGCCAGATCCCACTTCCGGAAGGAACCTGCCGCTCACGGTACGTACAGGGTGGGCACTTAGTAATAGATTTTAATTAAAGGTATAGTTTTATACATTTAAATTAAACAACGGAGACGCATTTAAATCTAATTGGTCATTAAGTAATAAATTCGAATATCCCATTTTGATAACCTCCATAGCTTCCAACAAATTTAGTTTTTTGCTTTTTAAATGATTACGTAAGGAAAAGCTGCATAGATGTGCCAAATATGAAGTCGATTGCTTCAAGTTTCGGACGCTTATCGTGTTTCATAGTAAGGTCTAAAAAACAGTCGGAAATCGCGAAAAAAAGATGGATACCGGCGTCGGATCAGGGCTATTTCATATAAGCTTATGTTCCTTGTATAAGGTTAAAAAGGAGGAAAATTTCAATTTTGTAACTCCAAAGGTTCGGAAGATATTCAGCAAAAACCAAAAGACGAGAACGGAGTACGGACAGACAAAAAAATTTTTTTTTCGACGGTGATCATTTCTGTACCAACGACGATCCCGTAGGACTTACCGTTACCGAGATTTAAAATTTTTATACGGGCGCAGATACTTTCGAGAAATTCGATTTCATCGATTTTCGAAAGTAACAAGAATATTTCGAGAAATCTATCTAAATTTGGTATTAATATTGCTTTTAAAACTGAAAACACCAAGGACGTTTTCTAAAAAACAAGAAAACTAAATTACGAAAAACTCAAATATCCGGAGTCTAAAAGTTGAAATGTGGATCTTGTTCCAAAATTTATATCGGACAAACAGGAAAAACATTTAAGAAACCCATTAACGAACATAAAAGGGCGTATAAAAATAAATGTTAATTGGATTTTCGTCAAATAAAAGCCACCTCAGTGCGACTTCATTAGGGGCCTGTACCTTTCTCAGGAACTACTGATTTTAGAAGAAAAAAAGTGCATACCAAAGTTTTTTGGTTTAAATTTTAAAATTATTTATTTTTTGTATATACAGGGTGTCCAAAAATCAAGGTAACTTATGGAAACTACTTATTCGAATTTTGTGTAGTTTAGATAGAAATTGAGATTATATATTTTTTATGCAACACATTTTTAGAAGACTTCCCTCTGACGATCTGCGATGACTAGGTATTTTAAAATTACACAGGGTGTCTTAAATTAAAGGACATTTTTAAAAAAACTCCACTTTGTTACTATAGAGTCACAACCCGCACTCAAGCAAACGGTATTCATTATTATAAAAGTGGGTAGGAACAGTTTGTTGGGATGAAAACAGAATTTAAACGGTTATACGCGGTAAAATCTCTGTATCAACCCGTTGCCGACTGACACTCGCGTCAGTACCGACACAGCGTTCTGGGCCTACGATGCTACGTCCAGGTGGGCCTACTATGCGTGTACGTTACAACTTGCAATATTCATTTTTTTTTTAAATGAGACGCCCATGTTTTTGATTTTGGGTCAACCTATTATTGAAAATTGGCAATAATTTAAAATCTGTGTTTTAGATGGCAGTTTCTTTTACATGACGATATAGCCCATACAGATAGCTAAAACTTTGTATTTAAGTACTGTACAGGGTGTTTGCGATATTCCGTGCAATATTAAAACACTTAATGAGTGCCCCAAGCTTGTACATAATGCAACACTTGCCCGTATATAAGCACATTCTTTTCCTTAAAGTTTTGACCACAAACACACCTAGCTCGGCGTTGCCAATTATATTCGAATTTCAGAGACTGATTTTGCTTTCTTATGAAAATTAGTCAATTTTTTCAGAAAAATTACGGCAACATGACAACAACATAGGATCTACACCTTCTCTACGAAAATATCATATCCACCTGCGGCTCATCACTTTTTACACCGTAGTAGGGCCACTATATTATCTGATAGCTAGCTGTACGGTGGTTTCCGTTGCTCCGGCGTTGCCGCGATCGAACATTTTTTCCCCCAAAGGTGGCGTTGATGGAGTCGGACGCAAATACGCGCGTGTTTATTGTTGTTCTGCGGCGAAAGTGCACGGAAAAATGCGTCGCGCCTCGTCGCAATAAAATAATTGCCCAATTCGAAATCGTAACGTCGGAGAAAGTTTTCCCCGCAGAAAAACCGAACGTTTCGCGGTAAAAACGAATGTTAGAACGGCAACGCCGCGTAAATGAGAGGTTATTTAATGGAAAAACGCCGTAGTCCGGCGGCTTTAGATTAGAAAACACCGAAAATAATAAACTCGAGACTAAGGGAATAAAAATACGAGGGTCAGCTGACCAAAGTATCGGCCATTTCGGACCCGTGGTTTTTAGTCGAGAATCGTTTGATTTTTTTAATTTAAAATCACGTAGAAATATCATCACAAATAAACAGTAGAACCCGCGAAATAAGCCAAATAACATAATAATATACACTTTGTGCTTCGGCATTTTGTAATGTTTGAAGAAAAATACCAATTTTCAACCCCTGTTTTTATCCTTATCCTGTTCCCCATATCGGAGTGTACAAGAGCAAAAGCGCTGAAAGTCGATTCTAGTGACGCTGAGGAAGCAGTTGCAAAAATTCATGATTTTTTCAAAAAAATCAATGGACTGCGAAGGGGCAACCTACTCCGAAAAAAGCATATGTTTAGGGCCACTGTGTAGAAAAATAAAACAAAATTTTAAGAATACAGGTCTTGTACCGTTGTTAGATCGCAAACTTTTCAAGTGACTCTCGTATATCCTCGAGTGTATCGCTTAAAATGGCGTTTCGTGTGTCCAATCGTGGCTATTTATTTATTATATATATTTATTCATATAATATAATAATCTACGACGCTTATAAAGTAAGTAGTGTTCTAACCCTAAAAGAACTGCATAAAAAAGATTGATTGACTTAAACAGAGTTGTTGCGTTGCTTGTATTATTTAAATCAAATTAAATTGAAAAATTGGTCCAAGTATAAATATGTAGTGGTGGTAAAAACTTGTTGGAGACTTTAGACTATAATCTTGTAAAATTACCGCAGCAATAATAACATTGTAACTTTTTGCGGCATTATGTAAAACTCATGGCGAAATACAGTTGAAGTTGTACCAGTTTAAAACCAAGGTGAAAACCTTTTCAGATTTCCTTATCGATTTAAGATATGGCAAGACAGTTTTAAAAGCCCTTGTAATGGAATTTGATAAGAAATTTGTAATAATATTTCATCTACTGTAGAAATTATTTACAACTAAAGAGAAAGTTTTAAGTCATTCTTGCAGATATACCTGCGTATTTTTTAATTTGTTTAAAACATTCTTTTTCATTTCCTTTTTATAAACGTACTATATTTCTGGTCGCAGTATAAATATATAGTAGTGATAGTAGTACACTATAAACTATATAACGTTGTATATTTAACCCGAAGGGGGCTGCAGTTTTGGAGTAATAAACAGTATGCAAAATTAATCACGGGGTCGGTTGTAAAAGCACTATATTTCTGGTCGAAGTATACGCCTTCTAGTCGCGACAGCACTATATACCATTGTTGGAGACTTTTCAAGCGACCCTCGTACATCCTCGAGGGTATCGCTTAAAAAATGGCGTCTCGTGCCGCGCAACGTGGCTATCGTAAACTCCACGTTTAAATACGTAATTAAATAAACGAACGACTCCGGGGCTTATTGTAATCTTATAACCCGGCATCGATTTTGTGTGTCACCGCACACACGTAGAGAGAGAGAAGAGAGGTTTTCGCCGTCGATTACGTAAAACATCGCGGACCGCGGGGCTCGGGTTTCCGCTAGACCGCCATTGTTATTATTATTATTATTATTATTATTATTGCTGGCGTAATTGTTTCGCAGATGCATTCGGCGGGAAGTGAAATCTCGGCGAGGCGACCGAAGCGATAAATTTCGATCCATTAAAACGCTCGTTTTATAATATATTTTCGAACTGCAGCTTTCATATTATATACATATATATATGTCCGCGGCGGCCATTAAAAACTGCCCGCTTTGTTACTCTCCGTCGTAATTAAACGCGAAATTTGATATGTATCGGCTCTCTCTCGCTGGTTTCGCGCGCTCCGTCGATTTTTCTCGAACGCGACCGGTGAAATTTTCCCCGCGTTAATATTTCCTCACGTTTCCCCGCGTTACCCAAACATTTCTCTACATATTTCCGCATAATTTCCCCATAGTTCCTCGTATTACTCAAATATTTCCCTATTTTTTCTTATATTTCCTCTGTTTTTCTTTATATGCCCTCGTATTATCTTAATAGTGCAC